GAGCTGAAATCGCCAGTTAGTCGCTTTACCGACTAAGCCCCTCAGGCGCCCACTGAATTGCCTCTTTAATGGCCCTATCTCCAAATACAGTCGTCTTCTGAGGAGTCAGGGGCTTCAATACATGGATGTTGAGGAAACACAGTTCAGCCTATAAACACCATATGCAAAAAAAAAAAAAAAAAAAAAAAAAAAAAATCTCCAGATAGAGTAAGGACTTAAATTCAAGAACAAAGAAAATAATAGTAGCAAGTGTAAGCAATCAACTTTCTGAATATAGGGTATGGAAAGAGTTTTGTTTTGTTTTTTAGTTGAGATCCAATTGACATGTAACAGTGTATTAGTTTTAGGTGTACAACGCATTGATTTGATACAGGTAAATATTGTGAAATGGTTAACACAGTAAATTTCCGTCATTGCAAATAGTTAGATTTTTTTTTCTTGTTGATGAGAAATTTTAAGATCTACTTTGTTAGCCACATTCACATATAAGAACAATATTGTTAACTATAGTCATCTTGCTATATGTTACGCCCCCAAGACATACTAATCTTATTACAGGATGTTTGTACCTTTTGACCCCCTTCACCTGTTTTGCATCCTGACCCTAACATCTGCCATCCACCAATCTGTTCTCTGTCAGGAGTTCGGTTTTTTTTAGTTTCTAGATAGAGTGAGAACACACAGTATTTGTCCTTCTCTTTGTGACTTAATTCACTTGGCATAATGCCCTGAGGCATTACGTTGTTACAAATGGCAGGATAGCCTTCTTTTTTTAATCACTGAATAATATTCTATTCTCTCTCTCTCTCTATATATATACACACATATATATATACACACACACATATATATATGCAAATTAAATTTTCTTTATTCATCTGTTGATGGACATTTAAGTTGTTTCTATACCTTGGCTATCATTACTGATGCTTCGGGGAGCATGGGCATACTGTTCTCTATTTGAAATTATGATTTTGTTTCCTTTGGAGATATACCTAGAAGTGGAATTGCTGGTCATATTGTGTTTCAGTTTTTAATTTCTTGAGGAAACTCCGTACTGTTTTATACATTGTACCAGTTTACATTTCCATCAAGAGTCTACAAGGGTTCCCTTTTCTCCATATCCTTGCATGCATTTGGTATCTTTTGTCTTTCTGAAAACAGACATCCTAAAAGGTACTACATGGTGTCTCGTTGTGGTTTTGGTTTTACATTATATTTGATGTTGAGGATTTTTTTGTGTACCTGTTGGCCATTTGTACATCTTCCTTGGAAAAATGTCTACTCAAGATCTTTGCTCAGTTTTAATTGTGTGTTTTGTTTTTTACTATTATATGGGTTCCTGGTATATTTTGGATAATAACTCCTCATCAGATGAGTGGTTGGCAAATATTTTCTTCCATTTCATAGGTTGCCTATTCTTTTGTTGATAGTTTTCTTTGCTGTGCAGAAACTTTTTAGTTTGATGTAGGCTGATGACATTATGTGCATCTTCTTTGATTTTTTTTAACCTCTTATTTTGAAATAAAATTTCTTTATCCCTTGTCCATTGTTAAAAAATTGAAGAATATAGAAACACTAAAGGAGGCAGGTATTGGTAAAATTCACTGTAAGAATTCAGAGTGCCTAGGTGGCTCACTCGGTTAAACATCTGACTTTGGCTCAGGTCATGATCTCACAGTTCGTGGGTTTAAGCCCCATGTCTGGCTCTGTGCTGACAGCTCAGAGCCTGGAGCCTGCTTCGGATTCTGTGTCTCCCTCTCTCTGCCTCTCCCCCACTCATGCTTGCTCTCTCTCTCTCTCTCTCTCTCTGTCTCTCAAAAATGAATAAATGTTTAAAAATTTTTTTTAATTCATGTAAGATGCAATGATAAATAATCCTAAAGTGGTCTTCTCCCTTACTCCTCTATTATGGATTTCTTGGCATGTCATCCAGGTAGTGATTTCATTCCTCTGCTCTCCATCCAGGTGGCAGTTGTCAATAGGCTTCACTGTCCAATATCTCGAATTGCTCTTTCAGCTAAGTCATTTTAACCCTGGTGATCTGGCTCAATAGTATTGTAAATGGTACTCTATTTTTTCTTTCATCATCACTACCCTATGTTTTGAATGTTCTAAACAGACTGTTAATTCTATCACACCTGCAGAAACTGCATTCACAAAGATTTCTATTTTTAAAAATCTTTTTTTTTTAATGTTTGTTTATTTTTGAGAGAGAGAGTGAGAGGAGGAGCAGAGAGAAAGAGAGAGATAGGGAGAGAAAGAGAGAGAGAGAGAGAGAGAGAGAGAATCTGAAGCAGGCTCCAAGCTCTGAGCTGTCAGCACAGAGCCCAACGCGGGATGCAAACTCTCAAACCATGAGACTATGACGTGAGCTGAAGTTGGACGCTTAACTGACTCAGCCTCCCAGGCTCCCCCACAAAGATTTCTATTTAGTTACTATTCTCCTTGACCTTTCTGCAACATTTGGCACTTTTCATGCTCCCTCTTATTTGCCATCATGCTTGACTCCTAGAGTCTCTTCGGCCGTCTCTTCTAGTTCTCTCCCTATGACTTGGATCTTTCTGATCCTTTTCTCTCTCTTCAGTTCCTCCCATTCACAGGACTTCAGATTTTGGTCCCCAAACTCACTAATAAAGCCAAGAATTATGAACCCCCTCACACATTTTTAAGTTGATTCATAAATTTCTTTAACTTTATTTATTCATTTTGAGAGAGAGAGAGAGAGAGAGAGCAAGCAGGGGAAGGGCAAAGAGCGAGCGAGTCAGAGGATCCCAAGCAGGCTACACGCTGTCAGTGCAAAGCCAGGTGTGGGACTCAAACTCACCAACCATGAGATCATGACCTGAGCCAAAATCAAGAGTTCGACGCTTGACCGACAGAGCCACCCAGGTGTCCCAATATATATAAATTTTAAAAGATTAAGAGTTATAAATCATATCATATCTGAAACCATGAATGTTATGTGTGTGTCTTCACTACGGTTTTGCCACAACTGTAGAGCCACATGTTCAGTTTATGGCGAACTTCCATGGCCAAACACAGTCTTCACCGTCAAACTAATCAGTCAGAAAATTGACTTTGTGTTCATACTGAAATAAATGTGTTAATACTTGTCTTTGTGGTAACCATATTGCTTCTAAATTCTTGTGGAGCACGGGGAGGAGGAATAAAACAGAAAGAAGGGAAGGGGAAGGGAAGATGAACCCTAAGATCTTGCTGCAGGTTTGCCACTCGAAGGAAGCTTCTTACTGAAGATCTTCAGTCTTATATTTTCCCTGTGTTTGGGGGACTCCAGAGGTATTTACCCTTGGTAGAAATGAACAAGAGTAAAATTCTGGATAGATGGGTGCATGGATGAAAGATGGACAGATGAGAGATTGGCTCTCCTATTGTAAAATGGGAGACAAGCAATTGTGAAAGCAAATTTGGGATAGGAGAACCGGCAGAATTGGGTTTCTCAGGCACATCAGTTTTAGGGAAGAGTTCTTATAATAGCTGGAGTTTGTAAATTGATTCTCTTCAAACTGTCCATCTGCCCCATTGCTCCTTGAAACATCTTCAGGTATATACATATCTTCTTCATTGAATTGACTATTCTTAAAAAAAATACTTATTTTCTATTTCACTCCTGCATAATTTACTCATTTTCACCAATCCAGTTATCACTTAGTTCGATTAAGGGTAGATGCTCAGAAACCTGTTGATCTCTTGTTTACAAGCATCAACCAGATATTTCTATTTGAAGATCTCACATTAAACTGGAGATATTCACTTCATCGTCATCATGATAGTAAAATCTATACATTTTGGTGTACAGTTGTTTCTTAAAGTTCCCACAGCTTAAGATAAAATCCAGCTATATCAGCAATAACCTCATTGTCTCTGACTTGAACTTGCCCTGGATAAAGGCAAAACCTCAGTCTTTTAGCAGGCCCTTCTTTCTCATGCAGATTCCAAGTGAAGATTAGGTGTGCTGCCTTTAGTGCAAGAAAGGAAGAGAAATATAAGTGTATAGATATAAGTATATATGTATTAATAGATAAGTAGGTAGATGGGTATAGATAGACATATCTGCTGATATTCGCAGAAAGGAACTGCAAGGTAAACCAGATACTGGTGAAAATACTGGTCGGGGCGGTGGGGGGGGAGATGTAGAGGCATAAACAGTGTAAAATGAGCAGAAATTTAGGCAAGACTTCTTGGAGTATACTTTCCAATGGAAGTCATGTAATTCATGTAAATCATGAATCCTGTAAATGTTTTTACATATTCAGAAAAAAATGTTCCCTAAAATTGAAAATATCTTAAAAGGAAAGATACTAACTGTATATCAAAATTTAACAAAACCATTCAAAGGAAAGAATTACTCTAGATATCTGAAATATTGTATTCTTGCTGAAAACCCTTGGAAGGATATAAGGAGAAAAATAGCTTGAAATTCAGTGGTTTTATTATTAATAGTAATATTGGTATTGTTATTTGGAAATCAATCATATTACAGACCTAAAGTAAATAAATGATTATGTTACTATTATTTTAAAATAAAATTTTCATGTTAGGAAATGACTATAAAATTAAAATAATTAAGTAAAACCCTATAAGCCAAATTTAAATTGACAAATGTCTATTTAAACTCTTTTTGAAATCATTTGAAATCAAATGTATCTCCTACCTGTATTGTCTGAATGGACCTGCATTTAAAAAAATAGTGTATACAGTGGAGTACTATGTGGCAATGTGAAAGAATGAAATATGGCCGTTTGTAGCAACGTGGATGGAACTGGAGAGTGTTATGCTAAGTGAAATAAGCCATACAGAGAAAGACAGATACCATATGTTTTCACTCTTAAGTGGATCCTGAGAAACTTAACAGAAACCCATGGGGGAGGGGAAGGAAAAAAAAAAAAAAAAAGAGGTTAGAGTGGAAGAGAGCCAAAGCATAAGAGACTCTTAAAAACTGAGAACAAACTGAGGGTTGATGGGGGGTGGGAGGGAGGGGAAGGTGGGTGATGGGTAGTGAGGAGGGCACCTTTTGGGATGAGCACTGGGTGATGTATGGAAACCAATTTGACAATAAATTTCATATATTGAAAAAAAATAAAACATCAAAAAATAGTGTATATAACTGATTAATACATTTGCAACATAAAAATTCATGAGACCGCAGTGATACTTTTTAAAAGTTAAATTTGCTTACACCAAATCCTAATTCTGAAAATTGGTAATTATAGGGAATATATTAATTTATTCTTGTAGTTGAAGGTAACAAAATAACTCTGGTTAATGACATTTTTTCCAGTTTTTTTAAAGATATAATTGACATACATCAGTGTAAGTTTAAGATGTACAGTAGGATGATTTAATGTACAAATATCATGCAGTGATTACCACAATAAGTTCAGTTAACATCCATCATCTCATGTAGATGCAAAATAAGAGAAAAAGAAAAAACACTTTTTTTCCTTGTGATGAGAACTCTTAGGATCTATTTTCTTAACTTTCATATGTAGGTGATCTTTGAACAACATGGGTTTGAAATGCATAGATCCACTTACATGCAGGGTTTCTTTTAATGTATATATAAGTATAGTACAATACTGTAAATGTATTTTCTCTCTCTTATGGTTTTCTTAATGACATTGTCTTATCTCTAATTACTTCAATATAAGAAAGTAGTGTATAATACATATAATGTACAGAATATGTGTTAATGACTATGTTATCAATAAGACTTGCAGTCAACAATAGGCTATTAGCAGTTAAGTTTTGGAGAAGTTTAAAGTTGTACACAATATTTCAACTGCACAGGTTAGGGGTCAGTACCTCTAAACCCTGCAATGTGCATGGGTCAACTGTAGGTCATAGAGCAGTGTTAAATATAGTCATCAAGTTGTCCATTACATTTCTGTATTATTTATCTTATAAGTAGAAGTTTGGACCTTTGACTAGCTTCATCCAGTTTCTCCTCCCTCCCAGCCCCTACCCATTGCCTCTGGTGATGAGGAAATATTTTTACAGGAGAATACTAACTAATAAATACACAAAGAATGGATAGTACCAGAAAATTACCATTCTGCAACTACATATGGAATAACTGGCTCTTATTAAGAATCATTGATATGGATGAAATCATTAGATGAATGGCTGATGGACAGATTTTCCCATGGGTTACCCCACCGATGACCTGCCAATAATATGTGGGGGCAGAAGGGTGCACCTGTATGATGATGAGATCTGGCTGACACCATCACAGAGACCGAACTATCAGGAATGGTGGGACACCATGTGCCTGCTGGTGGCATGCAGGAGGAATTGCAGTCTTTTCTGTGAAGTATTCTTACTAAGAAATATTCAATCAAAACCTTAGTCTGTATTTCTAACTTCAAGTTCAAAGGAAATTCAGGGAACAAAGGAATAAAATGAAACCACCAGGAAAAAATAAAATTCAGAAAATGGACATTTTATAAGACATCTAGCCTGGTCTCTTCAAAAAGTCAAAGGGAGTAAGTAGTGATTCTTGCAGCTTAGGTGAATAGGAGTCCTAATGGAATGTCGCCTGTTGTCTTCAGTTGGTTCTTCGTTTGAACAAATGAACTATATAATGCATTTGGGGAACAAGTGGGAAAATGTGAATGTGAACTAGGTATTAAAGAATTCTTGTTTTTCAAAGTGTGGCTGTAATGCCACTCTATGTAAGATAGCATGTTATTATCATGTTTGTAACATACTTTTAAATGGCAAGAGAGGGGAATATGTGTAAACAGTTGTTTGATTTGGTGGTGGGCATATGGGTATGCACTGTACCCTTCTATCCACAATTATGCATATTTTAACTTTTTTTCACAATTAATGTTTAACAAAAACAGGCTCCAAGCTTCCAACCAGTCACTGCTGCTCCACAGTGAGGAGCCAGCAGCCCTAAGTCTCGGTCTCCTCCAGGGCTTTGCACCCTCTCCAGTGGCTGGAGACCCAGGGTTGTGGGCACCACACTGAGCCTCTGGAGCCAGGCGTGCCATTTGCATTCCCAACTTCCCACAAACTGAGTTAGGTACGGATGTGGAAGTGGGGGTGGTTGAAGGGGAGTGGGGGTGTGGAGAAGTATTGTTTGGGCAGAGTGGGTTTGGGACTTCACAAGTGCAGCAGGTCACTTTCCACCCACACTGCCTCTCACAGACTGTTTTTCAGGACAGGCCTCCTGGAGCAGAGCCTAGGAAACCCTTTCCTCTGTGGCGTTACCTGCCTCTCCCCAGCCCTCAGTAGGTAAGCTGCTGCTTCCCGCAGGGTCCGTGTCCTGAGCTGGGGCATTTTCTCCATGGGCTGGTGGTGATAACCTCCTAGATGCCTCTCCTATCTCTTCCTCTTGCTTCCCATTTCCCCAAGTCAAAAACAAACCAAAACGGCAAACAAAACAAAACAGTGCTTCTTGCTCACTCTTCCTCCTTGGTAGTTCCATTCATTTTTGTTCAATTCCTTTTAATAAACCAGATGCTGGAGAGAGGATCTCTCCATTGAGCCTTGGATTGAACTCCTATGCATTCCTCTTGCCCTTGCTAGTTCTTTGTGTTGCCCCTTCCTTTCTTCTGAGTATTAAATAGTAACTAATAGTATTGATCACTTAACCATGTGTCAGATGCCGCTTTAAGCACATTCTACGCATTGGCTTCTTTGATCACAACAACGTAATAAAATATAACCTTCATGGTACAGAAGGGGAAACTGAGGCACAGAGAGGGTCAGTAACTTATGCAAGATTGAATCTAGGATGTGTGTACTCTTCTCAATAGTTCTATATTTATAAATGTGTTTATCAGGAAGTAACTGAGTTCCTACTCTTTGCCATGTATTACTGTAGACACGGGGAACATAGTACTGAAGAAAGCCATGTACTTGTCTTCATGGAGCTTTCATACCTGTACAGAAGAAAAATAACCAAAATGGAATAAATAAATCAGGCATGCATCAGAAATCTTAATCAGATTATAGGAACAGAAGGAGGGCAGTCCAGGAAAGCCTCTTTCAGGAGCTAATCTTTGTCATTAAAAAAAAAAAAAAATTATAGGGACACCTGGGTGGCTCAGTTCCTTCAGCATTTGACTTTGGCTTAGGTCATTATCTCATGCCTTGTGAGTTCAAGTCCCACGTCGGGCTCTGTGCCGACAGCTTGGAGCCTGGAGTCTGCTTCCGATTCTGTGTCTCCCTCTCTCTCTGCCCCTCCCCTGCTCATGCTCTGTCTCTGTCTCTGTCTCTCTCTCTCTACATAAATAAACAAAAAAATTTTTAATTAAAAAGATTATATGTAGTTTTCAATAGGTCATCTATTCTCTTGGTTCAAACATTAAAATGTATAAAAAGTGATCAGCTTTTCCTTCTAGAAATTTTATGCTTTATGTGTACTTAAGACTGTCAAATTATTTTTTTCCTTCCTGTTTGTCTCCAAGGAAACATGTTTTACTATACCATATGCTGTCCTCCTTGCTTTTCACAATATTTATTTTGGACATCTTACCACATCAATACTTAAAAAGCCTCATTTTGCTTTTACAGTTGACTACATTTTCATACTATGAATTACAATCATTTATTTAATCAGTCTCCTATTGAAGGTGCTTAGGTTTTTTTCTAGTCTTTAAGTGTTACAAACAATGCTTCAGTAAATAATCCTATACATCAGGAGTTGGCAAACCATTTCTGTAAAGGGCCAGATAGTAAATATTTTAGGCTTTGTAGGCCATATGGTCTCTGTCACAACTATTCAACTCTGCTGTTGTAGCATAAAAGCGGCCGTAGACCATGTATAAGCAAACAGGCGTGGCTGTTTTACAATAAAACCTTATTTGAAAGAGCAGATGCTGAACTAAATTTGGCCAGTGGGTTGCTTTATTTACTGATGCCTGTTATTCATCATTTTATATACTGGATCATCTCCACAGGATAAATTCCCAGAAGACAGTACATGAATTTCTAATTTTGATAGTTTCTACCAAATTGCCTTTCACTGAGATTGTACCACTTTGCTTTCCCACCAGCAGTGTATTTGTCTCTTCAACACTTTGCCGATATAGTATGTTCACACAAAGTGAGGATTTTGCCAATTTCATAGGTAGAAAATGGAATTTCAGTATAGTTTTAACTTTCGTTTCTCTTTTTATGAGTCCAGATGATCCAATAGAATAATTTGTTTTCTACTGGCTAATGGGTGTTTTAAAAATCAACTGTATAAGCTCTTTAATTTTAATAAGAAGATAAACCCCTTATCTGTGATATGCTGGGGATACTTTTTCCAGTTATTTATCTTTTGATTTGACCTAATTTTTTTTAAATGTTTATTTATTTTTGAGACAGAGACAGAGCATAAGCATGGGAGAGGCAGAGAGCGAGACACAGAATCTGAAGCAGGCTCCAGGCTCTGAGCTGTCAGCACAGAGCCCGACACGGGGCTGGAACTCACGAACCACGAAATCATGACCTAAGCCGAAGTCGGAAGCTTAACGGACTGAGCCACCCTGGCACCCCTGACCTAATTTTTTTTAATGAAGAGGTTTTATTTGTGTATAGTTGCGTTAATGGATCTTTTATTTTATAGATTCTGCATTTTGTATAATAGTTAAAAAATATACCACATTCCAAGGTTATAAATGAATTCTCCCACATTGCCATATGATTTCACATTTTATATTTCAAACTTTAATCTAGTTGGAATTAAGCCAGGTATAAATTATGGATCTGTTTTACTTTCTTTCTGAACATTAACAAGTTGCCCCTGTGACATTTAGTAAATACCATACCAAAATAGTGGTTTAACCTGATTTCATTTGACACCTTCATAAAATATTAAGATGCTGTGTATGTTGGGTCTTTTTCTGCACTTTATGTTCCACTGGTTTAGCTTACTATTCATGTACCAGTATCACGTTATTTTAATTACTCAAGTTTTATGGTACACTTTGGTACCTAATATAGGCTAACCCCCCCAACACCCCTACAACTTCTCTTTATTTTAGGATTTTCCTTGATATTCTTGCCATTTTTTAAACATGATCTTTAGAATCCTACTGCGTAGATTAAAAAAAAAACTTCATTTGGATTGAGTTTAATTTTTTATTTTATTTTTTTTTTATTTATTTTTTTCAACATTTATTTATTTTGGGGACAGAGAGAGACAGAGCATGAACGGGGGAGGGGCAGAGAGAGAGGGAGACACAGAATCGGAAACAGGCTCCAGGCTCTGAGCCATCAGCCCAGAGCCTGACGCGGGGCTCAAACTAACGGACCGTGAGATCATGACCCAGCTGAAGTCGGACGCTTAACTGACTGCGCCACCCAGGCGCCCCTGAGTTTAATTTTTTAATCTGAGGAGAATTGACAGATTTAAGATAAACTATATTTCCCTGTCCAAGAACATGGTACAACTTTCCATTTTTCCAAGTCTTCTTTATCTTTTGAAGAGTTTTCTTCATATAGGTCTTGCACATTTCTTATTTATTCTCAATTATGTTAACTTTTTGTTATTGTTGCTTTGGTAAGTAAAGTCTTTTCTTGTGTATACTGACTGCTGTCAATTTCTGCGTATCAGTTTCTATACTGTTACTGAATCCTGCTCTTCATAAGTGATTCTTTTAAAATTTATTTTCTGGGGTTTTCCGGGAATACAGTCACATCATATGTAGATAGTGATAGTTTTAGTTCCTTTCCATTTTAATACCTGTAATCTCCCTTCTTTCATTACAAGGTTCACTCTTTCTGGTAGAGTAGTAATAGTGGTAAAGATGACCATCCCTGCTATTTCTTACCTGGAGTTCTACAGCTTTTAGTATTTCCCCATGAAGCATGATGCTAGCTTTTAAGTTGAGAGCTGTATTTTTTCATTGTAGGTAAACAGCTATCGATTCTTAATTTGAGTGTTTTTATTAAAAAGTAGATGCTGACTTTGTGAAATGCCTTTTCAGTACTTATGAAATTGTTTATTTGATTTTCTCTTTATGTCTTCTAATATAAATAATCATTAATATTGCATCATGTTTGTTGCTCAGTAATATTGATTTCTCATTATTGAAGCATCCTTGCATTCTTGGGATAAACACTACTTCATCTTGATGTAATATTCTGTTACTATGCTGCTAGGTTTTATTTTATAATTTCTTATTTTATTTCATTCTAATTTTTTTAAAGTTTATTTATTTTGAAAGAGAGAGAGAGAGAGAGAGAGAGAGAGAGATGAGGGGCAGAGAGAGGGAGAGAGAAAATCCCCCATATTCATGTGAAGCCTGACATGAGGCTCAATCCCATGACCCTGAGATCACGACCTGAGCCGATACCAAGAATTGGAGGCTTAACCGACTGAGCCACCCAGGCGCCCCTCCTAATGTCCGTAAGTATTCTAAAATGTCCACAACTATTCATGATATTATCTGTACTTTTTTATTTGTTTTGCATAACCTTTGTCAGGTCTTGATGTCAGTGTTATGGTTGCTTCATAAAAATAAATTCTGAGTTCTAAAAATAAAATTCTATGATCTGAAACATCCTAAATAGCCCTGGAATTATCTTAACTTTGATAGCTTCACAGAATTGCCCTGTGAAACCATCTAGGACTGATGTCTTTTTAGGGGTAGTTTTTGACAATTTCCTACATTTCTGTAGAAATTGGTCTACTTAAACTTCTGAATTTTTCTGGGGGTCTGATCTTAGAAAAGTATCCATCGTGTCTTACTCATGTGGAATAAAGTAGTCTCCAATTATTCTTTGAATTTCCGCTGTGGTTATTTTGTTTAAGCAGGTTTTCTGTCTTTTGGCCTCTTTTTCTGAGGGAAAGAGTAGTGTGTAAGCTAGTTAACAGTTAATCTGTTTTATTTTTTAATAGATTTACTTTCATTCTTCTTAATTTATTGGCATAAACATTTAAGAGTATGAATTTGCCTCTGGGTATTTTAGTTCAGAGTTTCCCAAGCTCAAAACTATTCACATTTGGAACCAGGTACTTCTTGTGGTGGGGGGCTTTCTCATTCATCCTGGATGTTCAGCAGCATCCCTGATCTCTGTCTACTGGAGGCCAGTAGCATCCCTAGCCTCAGCTGTGACAATCAAAAACATTTTTGGATATTGACAAAGGTCTCCTAGGGCGGGGGGAGGCAAAATTGTCCCAGGAGAAAACCACTGCTTTAGCTGTGTATACCCTAAGCCTATTTTTCGCTATGTGCAAAAATTTAGATTTGCATTTTCATGTGATCCAATTGTTATTTAAGATAAATTTTCAAATATAAATTCTGGGGGCGCCTGGGTGGCGCAGTCGGTTAAGCGTCCGACTTCAGCCAGGT